CTTATTACAGAACTCCAGTTGTAAATGAAGGATCTTTTGAAGATACCATTGTGGACTATCAAAAAATCTCAGTATCTTGAGATTACTTCTCTACTAGGGAAGTTTTCTTCTCTAATAAGAATTCCATTATTGCAATGTATTTCCTAAAGTGTATTATCATCTTTGGATTTAGCTAACACATGCTATTGTGATGTCCAGGAAATTTCGAAGATTCATCTGCCAATCTGAAATGGCTCAACAAGAACCAGTCCAACTTTGGAACAGAATATCTCAGCCCCATCTATTCCCCGGAAGGTGCCTTTTCACCTGATTACTCAAGTGAATATTCCTTTGGCAGCCCACAATTCAGTCCGGATAGCCCAAGCCGTTTCTCAGATAGCTCATGCTTTTCGCCTAGAAGTCCAAATAGCCCGAACTATGCGCCTGAAAGTCCTAGATATTCAATGACAAGCCCTATACATTCCGCCAAAAGTCCAAGCTATTCGCCCACAAGCCCCTCGTACTCACCCACAAGCCCCTCATACTCACCCACAAGCCCCTCGTACTCACCCACAAGCCCCTCGTACTCACCAACTAGCCCCTCGTACTCACCAACTAGCCCCTCGTACTCACCAACTAGCCCCTCGTATTCGGCTACAAGCCCCCGCTATTCTCCCACTAGCCCCTCGTACTCACCAACTAGCCCCTCGTATTCGGCTACAAGCCCCCGCTATTCTCCCACTAGCCCCTCCTATTCTCCCACTAGCCCCTCCTATTCTCCCACTAGCCCCTCTTATTCTCCCACTAGCCCCTCTTATTCTCCCACTAACCCCTCCTATTCTCACACTAGCCCCTCCTATTCTCCCACTAGCCCCTCCTACTCACCCACAAGCCCCTCCTACTCACCCACAAGCCCCTCCTACTCACCCACAAGCCCCTCCTACTCACCCACAAGCCCCTCCTACTCACCCACAAGCCCCTCCTACTCACCCACAAGCCCCTCCTACTCACCCACAAGCCCCTCCTACTCACCCACAAGCCCTTCATACTCACCAACTAGCCCCTCGTACTCGCCGACTAGCCCCCGCTATTCTCCCACTAGCCCCTCCTATTCGGCTACAAGCCCCTCGTACTCTCCGACTAGCCCCCGCTATTCTCCCACTAGCCCATCTTATTCGGCTACAAGTCCCTCGTACTCGCCGACTAGCCCCCGCTATTCTCCCACTAGCCCCTCCTATTCGGCTACAAGCCCCCCGTACTCGCCGACTAGCTCCCCATACTCGTCGACTAGCCCCCGCTATTCTCCCACTAGCCCCTCCTATTCTCCCACTAGCCCCTCCTACACCCCCAACACTCCAGAATACACCCCCTCTAGTCCCTCCTACTCCTTCAACCAAAGCGAAGATTCATATGACTCCAGCGATGGGGAATGCTAGACAGACGAGCATAATTCTACGATCGATTTCTACGGAAGAATTTTTAAAATAATGTAAATAATATTATGTATATATAATTATGTGATTATATAATAATAAATTAGTTTTCATTAAATTTATTATATATTGGTATATTTTAATATTTGTTATAATTATTAAATGATCGCGAAAAAAAAATTGTCTGGATTATTTATTCATTATATATAAGCACTATTTAAAAAGTTTTAACCAATTGCCTTTTAATTATTGATATTCTTAAGATGTTCAAACCCATTTGGTTTAACATCATTTTAAAAATAGATATATTATTTACCTTTGTTGTCAAAATCCAATTTATATACATATCACTTGAAACACATTTATTTATAAATAGCATAGATTTTATATCTCTTGGTAATACAATATAAAGTATAATGAGAAAATAACGAATTGGTGTGAAAGCAGCAAATTAAGAATATCCAAGGAGAAAACGAAGGTATTGCCTTTGTTCAATAATAAAAGGTTTATAATAACTTCGAATAACAATACCATTCCGGTAGATAGGGTAAAAATATCGGGAAAAAACCACAGAAATAAGAACAAACTTGATTTTATGCCGCACATTAATTATATTATCACGAAAACAACCAGAGCAAGTGGATATCTATTAGGACTAACAAAGAAGGCCTGGGGTCTTGACAGCAAAAGGATAATTGTATTGTACAAAACACTATTTAGAAATACAATAACATACAGATTCAGATATGGTACCAATTCATCCCAAAAAAGCCAAAGACAAATTAAACTCGCAACAGTATAAAATTCTCAAACATGGTATACAAGCCTACAATACGACATCGTCAAATTGTACGCATATCATTGCTAGAACACCAAAGCTCACACACTTCATTGAATCAAATATATTAAAAATAAATATAGATTACAACCGAGTTGTCCCAGCAAAAATAATCATAATATCTAACTTTATACACTAGAAACAACAGGAATACTACGAACCAATGAAAATTTCAAAAGCTTCTTCAGTGGCCCAAAAATTCCTAATTATATCAAACCTAACTTCTATAATGTGCAATTCTCTTCACTGGACATGGCGACTTCAACTCATACCTGTTTAAAATTGGCAAAGCTGAATCACCTGGATGCTCGTGTGGAGGCGAAGAACAGAACCCCAGACACTTATTAACTGACTGCCCTTAGGGAACTAAATAAACTTCAGTAACAAATATGCAACATCTGGTCTGCACTAAGGACATACACCAAAGACTGCAGAATGTACTTGACTAAATAACTGACTACTAATGTAAGCAATTACTGATATGTGAATATGTATATATCCCTTTAAACTACTTTTCTTTCATTCAAATGTATATATTTCACACGCAAATATCCGATTTGTGGATATAGCGTGTATTCTGCAATTGTTGAATAAAAATAAATTTTTATATCTAAATTAAAATTTATATTTTAGTCAATATATTTCTAGGGCAAAAAACATCTTTCTTCATCAAAGTTTATTTGATTTAAACTTTTTCTTTCTTCTTCCTTTCCTCTACTCAATCATATTAGGGTCTGGGTGAAGTAGAATGCGTCTGCCTTTGTCATTAAGACTGAGAGCACTTCTCAGTGGCAAGCCGACTTAGCTCCAAAAGAAATGGCCACCTCTGACATGAGGAACAGACACCATGTGTAGCCGCTCCTAACATGGAGTACAAATGCTGCTCATCCTGTATTCCTGAAGCCCTTACAGGGTACTATCAGCCGGGCCAGCTGAACCCAGGTTTTTTTAGCGAGTTTGTTACTGCTCCCCCCACCTCATTTTTCATTCGGGCTTGGGACCGGCAAAGGCCGAGTTTTGATTTAAACTAAATCACATGAACACGTGATTCACTCTCGATATATAAGAACAAAATAAGAAACTATCTGATGAAAATTTCGCTGAATATCGAATATACAGTAGAACCTTCCTGTGGAGGACACCTAGTTACAGAATAAAATTGTCCTTTAGGGAGAGAGGTGTCCTTTTAATGGAGAGTTACTAAATAGTAAAAATGATATTTTTGGCAATTAAAACTGTCCTTTAAATAGAGGTGTCCTTTAATAGAGGTTATACTGTATATACAATCTAAAAAATTTGTCATTAACAATTAAAAAAAAAAAAGATGTACAGTTAAACCTGTCTATAGCGCCTTCCTTTCTATAGTGCCCGATTTTAAACATTAAAATTGTAGAACGACATTGAAAATTATCCCGCATGTGTTTCTTTTGAACGAAAAATCAAAATTTATTTTAAGGAGAAATAATGATCATTTCTAACCTGAAGTATGAAAGGATGAATTGTGAAGATTAATGATAAACGGAAAAATAAAAGTGTCCAGGGATGGGTTTATCATTACACTTCACAATTCATCCTTTCATACTTCATCCTTAAGGTTAGAAATAATTGTTATTTCTCCATAAAATAAATTTCGATTTTTCGTTCAAAAGAAACACATGTAGGATAATTTTCAAAGTCGTTCTACAATCATAAGCCGCATTATATTGTATTTTAAACATTAAAATGTGAACATTTTACATTAAAAGTGACCTGTCTATAGCACCCCCTCTCTATAGCGCCCTATTTTGGTGAGTCTCAAGAGGGAACGCTATTATTTCTTAAAAAGTGTTTTCAAAGATGAAACATTTTATTTATGAAATAACTTTTTTACTTTATTTGAGACGGCCCAACTAACTGTACTTCTTCATAGTCTCCTTGATCCAATCCATATGAGTGGAAACCCGGGCGTACATTCCGGGGTAACCGCAGAATGCCGTCATTTTGTTAGTTTCAACAATATGGCTAGCAACACCGTATAGGGTCCATTTGTCTGTGCTGGGATATTGGCAAACCAGGGGTCCTCCGCTGTCCCCCTGAAACACATATTTTGTCAACACAATGTCATCAAATACACCACTCAGTGTAGGACAACATTCTGGTAGAAGAGAAAATTTGCTATTAAATAAGAAAGTAAACAGTAGTAATGTGTTTCTTTATTCGTGTAAAGATTTCGGATCCTTATAATCCATAGCTATAAGTTGAGAAAATGAGGATATATATAATTTATATTATTTACATATATTTAAAGACACAAACAAATTTATATCTTTCAGAGTTATTGTCTGAATCCCGATACACATGCTAAAAGGTACAACTTCAGAGACAATTTTGTTCACACTTGGTTATCTCGTGTGTCTTCAATAAAGCTCACTATTGTATCAAATATATTTGTCTGAATTCCGATATACATGCTAAAAGGTACAACTTCCTTGAGTTTTGTCCATGAGTGTATATATGTGTGTGACTTCAATAAAGGTCACTGTAATATCTTTCAGAGTTATTGTCTGAATCCCGATATACATGCTAAAAGGTACAACCTCCTTAAATTTTGTCCATGAGTGTATATATGTGTGTCTTCAATAAAGATCACTGTAATATCTTCCAGAGTTATTGTCTGAATCGGGATTGCAAAAGGTACAACTTTCTTAAATTTTGTCCATGAGTGTAATTATAAATGAATATAATTATAGAGGTAAGGTATATACTTACATTGCAGGCACCTTCACCTTCCACAAATGAAGTCTTCACCTTGCTGGAAAGAGTTTCAGTAATAGGTGCAGAGACCTGCTTGAGTTTGTCGTAAGATCCACTACCCTTAGTCATTCCCCAGCCTGTAGCCATGCAGCGTGAGTCGTCTGCAGTCTTGGCTTGGTCATCAGGTAGACAGATTGGAAGAATGTGATCGGTAAATGTGATAGGAGCATTGAGCTGGATGAGAGCGAAGTCATGCTCGAAGTCGTACAGACGATTCATGAAGAACTACAATCTCACAATTAGAACATTCCGTAGGTATAGATTAATGTAGATATACTTGCCTCTTCCTCGGTGTAGTTAAACACGATCAATTTCTTGATGTAGCGCACATGCTCGCCTTCACCCCATAGGAATTTGTTGTGAACGCCGAATCTTAGATGGGCGTCGGTTTTTCTCCAGATACTGATGACATACAGCGAGGTTGAGACAGTTAGGATAGAATGATAGTATAATGATATGATAGATTTAGTCAATAATGATGATAAAATGGTTAGGGAAATAAGAAAGGTGATATAATTATTAAAGAATGGCAATAGAATAAATTTTAAGAATTTATGGTATGTAATTGTTAAAGAATGGTAACACAGGATAAAATACAAGAACGATGATACATTTATTAAAGATTAGGTAGGAAATGATGCAATAATGATGATACAATTATTAAAGAATGGGTACGAAATGATGCAAGGATGATGATGCAATTACTCCATAATGATACAAGAATGATGATGCAATTATTACACATACAAGCACAATGGGTACAGAATGATGTAAAAATGATGATGAAATTATTCCAGAATGGGTACGGCATAAAATTCAAGGACGATGATAAAATTATCAAAGAATGGTTACAGAATATTATGCAAATATTACAAAATGGGTACAGAATAAATTTCAAGAACGATGCTGCGCAATTATCATACATACACGCACAATGGGTACAGAATTATGCGAGAATGATGATGCGATCGTTACAGAATGGTAGCAGAATAAAATTCAAGAACAATGCTACAATTATAATGAAGAATGGGTACAGAATGATATAAGAATGATATGCAATTATTACAGAATGATGTAAGAAGGATGACGCGATTATCAAAGAATGGGTACAGAATTAAGCAAGAATGATTATGCAATTATTTCAGAATGAGTACAGGATAAAATTCAAGAACGATGCTACAATTATTTAAAATAATGGGCTCAGAAATGATGCAATAATGATGACGCAATTATTACCGAATGATGTAAGAACGATGCTGCAATTATTACACATACACGCACAATGGGTACAGAATGATGTAATAATGATGATTCAATTATTCCGGTATGGTAACAGACTATAAAATTCAAGAAATATTATACAAGTATTAAAGAATTGATATATAATAATGCAAGAATGTAATGATACAATTTAAAAAAAAACTATAACAGAAGAATACAAGAACAATGATTCCATTTTTCAAAAGGATAGCAACGGAATATAAATCGAGAACAAAGAAACATTTTTTAAAAGATTGGTGAAAATTGATGCAAGAACTGTAATACGAAAATATTAATGTCATATTGAAGGAATCCTAAGACCAGAATGGTACGATGTCGAAACCAGAGGGATAGGATATTGAAGGAAGACAGCTTGGACTTACCCAGCCACGCAGTGAGCTGCTGTTAGGACCCAATTTTCATCAATCAGAGAACCACCGCAGAAATGGTTGCAGGGCTGGATATTGTGCACTTGGAGGGACACCTACAATCCCAGCACACAGGCATTGTCATATATACGTTTAAACTAAAGGAAAAGATACAGAAAACAAGATTATACTATCCACTTAGTGTTTTTATAGCAAAAACCTCATACCAACTCTAATTTATAGAAATATCAGCAGTAATGGTAGACTCTTTTTTACAATGGGGAATGGTAAAGAAAACAAGATTATATACTTAGTGCTTTTATAGAAATACTTCATACCAACTCTAATTTTAAGCAATATCAGCAATAATGGTAGACTCTTTTTTACAATGGGGAATGGTAAAGAAAACAAGATTGTATACTTAGTGCTTTTATAGCAAAAACCTCATAACAACTTTCTATTTTATAGCAATATCAACAGTAAAGGTAGGCTCTTTTTATACAATGGGGAATGCTAAAGAAAACAAGATTGTATACTATATACTTAGTGCTTTTATAGAAAATCGTCATACCAACTTTCTATTTTATAGCAATATCAGCAATAATGGTAGAGTCTTTTTTACAATGGGGAATGGTAAAGAAAACTAGATTATATACTTAGTGTTTTTATAGAAATACTTCATGCCAACTTTCTATTTTATAGAAATATCTGCAGTACTCGTAGACACCTTTTATACAATGATTAATTGTTGATGTTTTTATATGCCAAATATTGTACGTATTATTGAATTATTTTTGAAAAAGTGTAAGCATACCCATGTTTTTGTGTGTCAATGTATTATTATGCGGATATATGTCGCTTTGTATCTCCATTGTTGTAAAGAGATTGCCAAGTAAACACTTCTGGTCGTTTTATTGTTGTTCTGTTAGTGTTTCTACTGTAGACCCATTGTTGTAAAGACAATGGAAATTATACATTATTGGCCGTCCCATTGTTGTACTGATAGTGTCGCTTGTATCTCCATTGTTGTAAAGAGAGTGCCGAGTAAACACTACTTATCGTTACATTGTTGTACTGATAGTGTCGCTCGTATCTCCATTGTTGTAAAGAGAGTACCAAGTAAACACTACTTGTCGTTCCATTGTTGTACTGATAGTGTCGCTCGTATCTCCATTGTTGTAAAGAGGGGGCCAGGTAAACACCACTTGTCGTTCCATTGTTGTACTGATAGTGTCGCTCGTATCTCCATTGTTGTAAAGAGAGTGCCAAGTAAACATTACTTGTCGTTCCATTGTTGTACTGATAGTGTCGCTCGTATCTCCATTGTTGTAAATAGAGTGCCAAGGAAACATTATTGGCTGTTCCATTGTTGTACTGATAGTATCGCTCGTATCTCCATTGTTGTAAATAGAGTGCCAAGGAAACATTATTGGCTGTTCCATTGTTATACTGATAGTGTCGCTTGTATCTCCATTGTTGCACTGATAGTGTCGCTCGTTGTATAAACAGTGTCTAGTGAATATATGTAAATATTGTGTGCCTTTCTATATATTAAATGCTCGCTCTGATTAAGCTGTCGAGGAGAAAACATCAACAATTAGAATAAAGAGAGAAAGTTTCCGTTTTGAAAGGTTTTGAATCGTTGATATATTTTATCTTAGATCACTTGATAGACTGTGAATACGGTTTATTTAGCCAATAGCATAGAGAGGTAAATAAGCAGTGAGACCTACCTGCCAGGGCCAGCTGTGTGCCGTGGCCTCCACTCCTCCCACGATCCTGTCACCGCCTCCGTAGGCCTTAGGGCTGATCTTGGGTGTTCCGCAGGTGTAAGATGGCTGGAAGGGCTTGTTCTCTGCACCGCACCTTGGTGAGTGACTGGATAGTGGGGCTGTTTAATTGGCTACTGGGATTGGGTGACTGACTACTGAGGTTGGGTGATAGATTACTGGGATTGGGTGATTGGTTACTGGAGCTATTTAACTGGTTACTGGGAGTGAGTGATTGGTTGCTGGAATTGGGTGATTGGTTAGTGGGATTGGGTGATTGGTTAGTGGGATTGGATGATTGGTTACTTGGGAGTGGGTGACTGACTACTGGAGCTGTTTAATTGGTTACTGGGATTGAGTGATTGGTTGCTGGGAGTGGGTGATTGGTTGCTGGAATTGGATGATTGGTTACTTGGGAGTGGGTGATTGGTTAGTGGGATTTGGTGACTGGTTACTGATACTGAGATTGGGTGATTGGTTACTGGGTTTTGGTAACTGACTACTGGGGTGTGTGACTAGATATTGGCATTGGCTCCTAGGGTTTGGTGAATTGTTACTGGGAGTAGATGACTGGATATTGGGATTGGGTGACAAGCTACAGCAAGCTCCAGTGACAGATGTCACTTACTGCACTCCTCCTCGTCGGTGCCGTCCCCGCAGTCGTCCACCGTGTTGCACTTCTGGGAGGCGGAGTAGCAGTTCCTGTTGCGGCACATCTCCTGGCCCTCGGGACAGAACGCTGGAACACATTTGCATACTCGCACCTCGTTTACATACTCACACCTCATTTACATACTCACACCTCATTTACATACCCACACCTCATTTACATACTCACACCTCATTTACATACTCACACCTCATTTGCATACTCACACCTCATTTACATACTACACTCACACCAGAGGAGCAGCAGCTTTACACACCCAAGATAGTGGACATTGCTGCTACTGTGATAGAGATGTATGGAGACATCTGAGGTTCTTCTATGGACACGACAACAACAACAACTCATACATCTTTTACATACCACGCTCACATCTCATTTACATACTGCATAGATTCACTTTTAAATGTACCTCTAGGATTTCTGAAGAAAACTTATTTTATACATATTACTAAACGTGGAGTTTGATGATTATTTTAGCCAAAATAAATTGATTTGTCATCTTCATGTTTATCCTCTCACATTTTCCAACATGACAATATATTTTATTGTTAACTTTCGAGTCTTTATCTTTCTCAGCCTATAGTTAAAATTTCTATCTTCTATCAACCATTCTTAGACAACACATAGATAAGATGAAATATCTACTCACGGTTGTCCTCAGGAAGACTCTGGTACTTGAAGTGGAAGCCCCTGCCGACATCCTTGTCTCTGAAGTCGCTGATGAAGGTGAGAAGGAGGGCGTTCTGAGAGCTCTCGATATCAGCAGGCTTCACCTCACTGCAGAACCGTCCCATCCATGGAGCGCTGACTTCAGGCCCATCGTAGAAACCCATGTAGTCACCGATACAGGCGTCCGTGGCGTCTAGCTCGAAGTCGATGAAAGACAATCTCACTTTCTGCAACACCATGTCAACGTACAATTAAAACTCAATTAATTATCTAAAATAGATTAATCGGGGGATTCTA